TAATAATAATATTCGACTGATTAGATTCATCTATCCAGGTTTACAGTAATAAATATCGAGTTCTTTTAAGTTCTTTTAAGTAAGTTCTTTTGTTTTCTGCTTTATCCAGAGATAAAAATTGTAATTGATATTTATTAATAATAATAATAATTATTATTATAATTCTGGATTTATATACAAATAAACAAAATTGCAATTTGCACTTGTCTGACAGCATTGAGTTCATTGAGAAATTGAGAAATAAAGAAAAGTAAGCACTTTCTTACCCTTTTATATATCTCTTTACTGGATGTTATGATGGTGGGACAGAATGAGGTGACGCCGTGTGCTAACAGACCATGAGCAACTTTTTGGAGACCGCCCTCTATCTCATCAATGTTGGATGAAAAATCAACACCAAAACAACCTAAAAACATTGCCAGACAGCAAATTTAATTACTTTATATCTACTGTTAAGTTGCATTTCCTTCACAAGACAAATATTATGATTAGGCTTTTACAGGAGTGGTGTTGTTTTAGTAATGAGAAAAAAATCATGTTATTGTGACAGGAATTGAACCGAAGACACTGACTGGATGGCAAGTATCTTTACCACAAAGCTAAATTTAACTACTTTTATGACTACAAATATACAATAAAACTTGGTATTATAATTCAACATTACATACTCAAAATACTTTTACTGCTACATAATCTTTTTAGGCCTAATAATTTCAATTAGTGAATGTTATATATGCTATGTTAATGATTATCAACCTTGAACTACTCAAGTAACCCCCCTGTAAGCCTACTATTATATACTAGGTCATTTTAAATTATTTTGATATATTAAATGTCATGGCCTATAAAAACCTATAAAATGAGTATAATAATTAAACATTTGAGCAATTAATTACATTTTTAAATAATACATTCATTTTTACTGTAGCCCTGTAGAATTATCCTGTTGTAATGATTTTATTATGATAATAACATCAACTTAATATTTATTATTTCCTTTGCCACTGTCAGAACCATTAAATTTATGTGGTGCTATAAATAAAGCATATTATTTGGTTGTGGTTGTTCCAATCCATGAATTATAGTCCTAGGTTGGACTGAGTTAGATTTATGTACAGCTAGGCTTCATGGTCTAATTATGAGACCCCTATAATTTGAGACTTTTCCAAAGTACCAACTAACATGCAATCATCAATCTTCTAACAATAAGATGTTCCTCATAGTATTCAAGAAAAATTGTATAATATATATAGCGGAGACCATACTACGCAAACAACCGCATATTTTCAAGTCCATACTTGATAGAGTGAAAAGAGCTTAACATATTTATCAACTTAAATTAAACTATTAATCAACATACCATTAATTTGAACATCAATGAAACCTGGAGCAATCAGTTTTCCATAGCAATTGCACTGGATATCCGCGTAAGCCTTCTCGTCATAGAAAAGCTTCTCCGGATCCAAGATCTTCCCATCTCTTACCCACAAGTCCTCCTTAACAATCCTGTGCTTGTACAAAAGTCTGCAGTCTCGGAACTGAATAATTGGCGACTGTGAATCACCATACGTGGAGGGCATCCTCAAAAATATTTTGTTTAGACCATATCAATATATCTTATGCTGTAGTCAAAAATGTATGATAATATTATTGAGAATACATCCAATACATTATTTCTAGGAGTTAATAATATTAAATGAATATTTATTTAAATGTTGAAAACCTCATTTGATTTCTGATCACCGTATCTTAAAATGCTGCATCATGAGTAAATTTCCTGTATGATTAAAAATTTAAAAATGAGGCAAAGTCAAGCCAAACCAGTCACTTGTCACAAAATTTGATTTTGAGTTATTGATACAGTGTTAGAGAATATAATAATAGCTATAAAATGGTAAAAAAATCATTCAAATCGGACATTTCCTTATGAAGTTACAAGCGTTTAAACACAAAGCTGTTTAAAGAACTATATGAGAAATCAGCCTTCAAAGTTTATGATTTCAGGCATTTCTCATGCAGAAACTATCATCAAAGCCTTAAAAATGTTGTTTTAACATTGCACATTGGGAAAATAACAGCATAGAATGATGTGTAGGTATATAAATGTTAGTTTTAGTGCAATAAAATAGATTTTCAAAAATTTGACATTCCAGCATGATTTGGCCATTTTCTCTGAAACATGATTTGCGACGAGTGACTGGTTTGGCTTGTCTTTGCCACAAATGGTAAGTTTGGTTTGGTCTAGGTTCATGCTTCGTACAGGGCATTCCCTTCATAGAAGAAGATTTAATGGAGAAATCGTACCTGTCATACTGTAGCTATAGTAGAATGCAAATGGTTAATCTTATTATTGTAGTGACTACTACTGTATGTCCACTCATGATTAAATAATAAAATTAATTTGTAATTGTTAATATTTTACTTGAAATAATATAGCTTGTTAAAATGTAATGTTATTTGGGAATCTGACTATCCAAGCAATATCAAAGAATTACAAATAACCCAAAAAATAAGACATACTGTATATATAAGAAATTCTCATTACTGTATTTCGCATTATCTGGACCTGTATTTAAAACTTTTAATTTTAAATTGAATATTTCTTAGTAATAACAAATTTAGTTATACCTTTTAAATACTTGGATAATCAACTGCCACCCACAATTAATAATTTACTTTTTCTTCTTGTAAAAAAAAAGATTATTATACAAGAAATCTTATTATTCCATATATTCTAGACTTTTGTAGACCGTCAAGGTCCCTTTTTATTAGAATAAAACTTTTTCCATCTATATTTTCGATGGTTAGGCGAGACTTTTTATTCTTTGTTTCGCGTACTTATTTTTTTAAAGAATGTTGGCGGAGGGCGGAATAAAAATAAAATTTTCTTATTTAGCAAATAGTTTTGCCAAAATCATCCAGACGGAGGAAAAAAATAATTTTTTTTTGGTAAATATAAAATAGGATGTTTAAATGCTTCAAATTTTAATAATTAGGAAGAAATATACATATCTTATCTTGGGAGATTTCAAGGCAGCGGAGGGAGTAATAAAAGTAAAGAAAAACAACTTTTATTTCACTCAGAAATCTCCCTTTTTTCGTTGCTGCGGGTGTGCTAATTGGCTAAAAATACATTTTTTTTACTCGAAATCATCAATATTGCATTGGGCTGGTTCGTTAAACAAGGTATAAAAAAAGTTTTGCCTTACGCACCACTGACTTTACAGACGTCTACCGATTTGTGGAAAAGGCATAAGTAGTAGCTAGGCTTGGCTACTGACAATACAGCAAGCCTAGCTAGGGCTAGGCCTCCTGCTGCTCACATGACAATTTAGACCACACCACCACCACTTTTCTGGTTTACTGGTTTCCCGTAACTACTGAGACCGAGGCAAACACTCAGTACTTAAAAGTCCCTCTTGTAAATAAATTCACTGTTAGCGTATGGTGCAAACTTCAGTGGATGGTTGGACCATGACTCATTGAGCCTTGATTTCAAAGTATTAATAGTTGAACATGATACTGCTTTACTAGGTAGTGCATTCCAAGAAGCAAGACCGCCCTTCTAGAAAATGTATTCCCACTAACATAAACCCTAGTTAGAACGACTAAATTTCATCTTGTATTGATGACCCGTTTTGTTTGGTGATCATTAACTTTATATACTGACTGACTGTACTACACTACCAGTACTACTGCCTAGGCTAGCTTGCTTCCCGCCTAGCTAGGCTAGCTATTTACTGGCCTAATTATAGGCTAGGCCTGGCTGGAGTACCACCATGTGTGTGTTTGTTAATATTGGCTAGCTAGGCCTAGGGCCTAGCTAGGCTATGCCTCTTATTCCTGTAGGTAAGTTAGGATCCTGTATTCTTCGGTTCATGACAGCATCCTATATAGGTTGTAGTACACCACAAAAATATTGTTGGTAACTTACGAAAAACAGCGTTGAAACTGAATTGTAGAAAAAGATCTAGGGGCCTAAACCTACCGGTTGATTTTTTTTTTTTTTTTTTTCTTTTTTGTATTGAAGTCTTTCTCTTCTCTCTCGTATCTGGAGTATCTCATGAAATAGCGCCACCGTATGGCTAATGCTTGAAAGGGGGATTTCCCTAAAAAGGGGCACGTGTTAGCAGCCACAGAGTGTGATCAATCTCAACGTGGAGTCCGAGTCAATCATTGATTTACACTTTACAAAATGAACTACAACAAGTTATTTCATTTGTCAGTCTTATTATCTAGCAATGCAATTTCATGTGAGATTAATTGTAAACAATAATAATATGATGCTAGAATCATTATGTTTTCATAAAATATATTATAGAGCCTACTATTCTACTAATTAATTTAATTTGTAAATTATTATTGATCTCAGAGTGAATGGGTGATGTAACTATGACAGAGCTGATGATGACAAAACCATGCTAATGACTGTGAAGATGGTGAAAATATAATAAAGCATTAAAATGTAATTTTAAATAATATTATATGAGCACAGGCACTGGATCTGCTTTTGTAAACGGCAGAGTAATATGGGTGAGGTTAGGGTAAAAAAAGGATAATATGCCATGAGGTCTCGACACTTGTGATCCATATTTGATTGAAAATGACTTCAACACGGTAGAGATTTGTTTTAATTATTAGCATTTTAAAATAATCCTACCCTCACCCTTAATCTATCCTTCAATGTATTTTATGTTTGTGAGATGTGGCACGTACCTTGTATGCCACCATCTTGGGCCCATTTTTTGGGTTAGTGTGTTTTACAATTGTCGTGATTAAACGAGTTGATGATAACAGAATCATGCTAATGACCATGGAGACGGGGAATATAAATGATGATGATGAGGGGGAGGCGACCAGAAAATTGAAATACGTTGTGTTGTGTAAACTCGTATTGATTTTAAATTATAAATATATTTCGATTTGTTACCAAAAAACATTGACTGGTTAATGATGTACCGTATAATCAGGATTTCGATAAGAGTCTTAATTATTATTATAATTTGATAAAGATTGTCAAAACAACATCACAAACATTATCAACAACATCATCATCATTATTAACAAGATCATCATCATTATCAAGATCATCATCAACATTATTCATGTTGGTTATTATTATCCCAACCATCATTACTTAATCATCATCCTGATCATTATTCATAAACATAATATTCATCATAGTCAGGATTAAAAACATCATTATCTTTATATTTATCATTTTTAATGTTTTAGTAGTAGTCGTCATCATCATCATCATCCAATTTTGTTGATATATTTACAATCATCATAATTTTAAGGAATCCTTATTGTTGAGATCACTATTTTAATATATTAATATTATATTCAATTTTATTTGTATAATATATTAGACTCTGATTAATTAATTAGTTCATTAAATCTTTCTACTGCCACATCATTTAACAAAAATTAATAAGAAAACAAATGTGTAAATAAAGTGCTAATAATAATAACTAGCACTTTATTTACACATATTTAGTAATTCGTATTTATTATTTTTTTCCGTTACTTACAAGCTTTCACAATTATTGTGAAAGCTTGTAAGTAACACACCGTCCATTCAGTTTGGTAGACGCGTTCAAATAAACTTATTCGCCGGCATAAATCGTTTCTATTGTTTCAAATCTGTTTCTTTCACCTCAATAAGTGCGGCCGCATTGTAACGCGTTACTTGGTAAAGTTTAGCGTTTAATTGACTGTTCCATTGTGCTTCGAGCTCTATTGTCTACTATTTAACGCGTTTTGCAAAAAGCAAGTTTCAATTGTTTGAGTGTAGCGGCATCTGGCTATAAAAGTCACACCAACTTTCTACAACTCATCAGTTGATGGTTTATCTGTGCTCCGAAAATCTTCTAAAATCTAAATTATGCCTAGCGTGCTGTTCTCCGATCTTGCTACTTCGATTATGCCTTTGACTTTCCACGAACTAGTGGTGGCTGCCTTGCTCCGTTGTTCGAATAATACTGGAAGTTGTCTTGACGTCTTCAATATCATTAGGAAGATTTGCCCGGAGAAATACAGTCTCAGGAATGCCAGACAATGTGTTCGCAAGATTTTCATTGAATCTCTATATATTGAGAGAGTCAAAAACACTGACAAGTATCGTTTGCGAGACGGCTGACAATATGAATTACCATGCATTATCATCGTAAACGGGATGGAGTATCACGTCGCTACTAGAACCTGTATCGAATGGATGAGATACTTGCATACGATGACACGTACCAAAACAGTCATCCAATCTACATCACCAATCAACCACTGGGACTTGGATTGCAAAGCAGGGACACAGTTTGTACCGGCGATTGAAAATGGAAAACGACTTGGTGTTGACGCAACAAGAACATTCAATATTGAACCTGTGTCATTGAGCCAGAAACGTCGGATGTTTTCTATCGATGAACTACTTAAACCAATAGGAGAGGAGTCAGATTGTCTTCATTGTCCTGATAGTCCACCAGAGGTGACCATCTATGTTTGACATCGTGGTGTGTAACGGGCAAGGAATCATCAGAACAGGCTTATATCATGGAGGAAGGAAAATTTCCTTTCCTTCCTCCATGCTTATATACATATGAAGGTGTAACCAAAATTGACACTTAAGCCGTATAATCTAAATTAAAGAATTGTTTTCTAAATTTCTAAGCTGAATTTATCAATGTACTGTAGATAAAAGTATACTTAACAATCAAGATTTATAACAATTTATATTTTACATAAGAGTAAAGTAACTTGAACCAGTTAACATGTGTGTTAACACGTTTTCTAGTGTTTCAATAGTATTAATGTTTCTAAAGCGTTACAAGAATAGCGAAATATCTCATCTCGGGTAACTGTACACAATAGTCTATACAATGTTTTTATAAATAGAACAACTGTATCAAGTGTCGTATTAAATAAATTTATTTCTCAATAGAAATTTACATGATGTGCTTTTCTTCATCAGATTTATCTCAAAGTGAGTAAGTGATGTCGACAGAGCTGATGATGAAATTACAAAATAAAAATGACAAAAGGATGTTAATGATAATATTAATTATGATGATGGTGCTGCTGACAATAACAATGCTGATGATTCTTTGAAAATTATGAGAAAGTGCAGCTAAATCTAACTAAAAGTAATTGTGTTCTATCCTGAATCTATCTGTAAAATGTACCGTATGATGTTATATAGTATATTAGTAAAATGTTTATATATTGCAGTTTGTGTTGACAAAAACTTGACAACCAATTGTGTTATGTTATACATAGTATTTCTATGCTATATAATAATTATTTATTTTAGTACTTGAAGAAATATTAAAACAATATTTCATTTAACTGTACATAATAATAACAATGGGCATTCAATGTTACGAATATAATGATGTTGCGATAATAAATATACAACTATTTTTAAATAGGAATTTACATTTTGTTCAGTCTATTTGTACTTATCGCATGAGTGAATGTGTTATGTATGACAGAACCTATAATGAGAAAATCATGCTAATGACTATGGAGACGGTGATAATATAATAATCAATGATTATGATGATGAGGAGACGACCAGAAACATGAAATACTTTGTGTTTTTTTTCAATATTTTTCTTCTGGAATCCCATTAAAACATTTCTTTACCATAATATCCAAATATCATTATATATGCCTATTTAGAATCGTATGGGTTTTAAATTATAAATATATTTAATTTGTTACCAAAAACATTGATTGGTTAAATAATATATACTGTACAGTATAACCAAGATTTCGATAATGAGTCTTATAATAATTTGATCAAAATCATCAAAACACCATCACCATAATTATCAACAACATCATCATCATTATCATCAACATCATCATCATCATCATTATCAAGATCATCATCAACATTATTCATGTTGGATATTATTATCCCAACCACCATTACTTAATCATCATTCTCATTATTATTCATAATTATAATATTCATCATAATCAGGATTAAAATAATCATTATCTTAATTATTTTTAATTTGTAATGTTTTAGTAGTCGTCGTCATCATCATCACCCAATTTTGTTGATATATTTACAATCATCATAATTTTAAGGAATCCTTATTGTTGAGATCACTATTTTAATATATTAATATTATATTCAATTTTATTTGTATAATATATATTAGACTCTGATTAATTCATTAGTTCATTAAATCTTTCTACTGCCACATCATTTAACAAACATTATTAAGAAAAAAATACGAATTACTAAATATGTGTAAATAAAGTGCTAGTAATAATTCTAGCACTTTATTTACACATATTTAGTAATTCAATTTTTTTTTTCCCGTTACTTACAAGCTTTCGCAATTATTGTGAAAGCTTGTACAGTAAATAACGCACCGTCCATTCAGTTTGGTAGACGCGTTGAGATAAACTTATTTGCCGGCATAAAACGTTTCTATTGTTTCAAATCTGTTTCTGTCATCTCAATAAGTGCGGCCGCATTGTAACGCGTTACTTGGTAAAGTTTAGCGTTCCATTGACTGTTGCATTGTGCTTCGAGCTCTATTGTTTACTATTTAACACGTTTTGTAAAGCAAGTTTGAATTGTTTGAGTGTAGCGGCATCTTGCTATATAAGCCACACCAACTTTCTACAACTCATCAGTTGATAATTGTCTGTGCTCCGAAAATCTTCTAAAATCTAAATTATGCCTAGCGTGCTGTTCTCCGATCTTGCTACTTCGATTATGCCTTTGACTTTCCACGAATTAGTGGTGGCAGCCTTGCTCCGTTGTTCGAATAATACTGGAAGTTGTCTTGACGTCTTCAATATCATGTCTTGACGTCTTAAATATCATTAGTAGGATTTGCCCGGAGAAATACAGTCTCAGGAATGCCAGACAATGTGTTCGCAAGATTTGCATTGAATCTCTATATATTGAGAGAGTCAAAAACACTGACAAGTATCGTTTGCGAGATGGCTGGCAATATGAATTACCATGCATTATCATCGTAAACGGGATGGAGTATCACGTCGCTATTAGAACCTGCATCGAATGGATGAGATACCTGCATACGATAGC